CCAAGTGGAATACCAAGAACCGTCTGTTCTTGTGCTTGTAACTGCGCCTCAATCCACCTCTCTCAATCGTTCAATGAGAGAGTCCCTTCCTCAATAGATTAAGGAAGTAAAGTGTTTTGGGTTATGTAGATTCAATGTTTTTACCCAAAACAATGGTTACTGGATCACAAGATTGATGAAAATGAAATCTCCAATTAATTTCACCTTGGACCTCTTCAAAGATGTTATGAATATCTTTTGCAGTGAAAGAATAATGTATCAACCTCTGAAAATTCGTGCTAGGGTTTGGGTATTTATATTTGAAGGTATGTAGGTGGTATGGGGCGAGTAAAACACTTCAAAAACACGAAATAGGGTTTTTGCCGCATAGGAGTGTCGCTTGAGCGAGAGCCAGGGAGAATCGAGCGATAGGTATTCTATTTTTTTTGCTCGAACGAAATGCCAGCGAGAAGCGAGCGATAGTGAGTAGTCGTCAGTATTTGTATATAACTTTCTTATCCGACGTCCAATTGAGGTGATTCAAGTTGCATTGGAAAGCTAACGCAAAGGGATACAATTCTTCTAGAAATATCCCTGTCCAAATTCCAAGGTTTTATATGTGAAAAATGCATTTAAAATTATGACTGAAAATCCAGAACATAATTTGTGTGGCTCTTTGATATCCTTTAGACTTCCAATTGCATTCCGATGATCTTGTGCAATCTTCTTGGACTCCTTCAATGACTCGAACACTAATTTACCTCATCTATACAAATTGCACCCTAAGTCCCTAAATTTTACACCAATGTTCAATTAAGTCCCTGACTTTTACAATTATACAATTTAGTTCGTTTTGTCCACAGAATCGTCAATTACACTTTTAGACCTAACAAATATGTTTATTTAGCAGGAATACAAATAATATTTAAATCATTATTCAGAGAATGGATAAACTCACCATTAACTATAACTTTACATGATGGAAGAATAATAAATTTAAAAGATAGCCATTTAGGATCAATAGAAGGAATCTGGCATATCAAAAATTATTAAAAGATAGAAACTTTAATGAAGTTTTAGGATTGCATTTTAAATTGCATATAGATGATATCATGCAACCAGGTAATCAAATTATGACTATAGAGTATAGAGCTTTATACACATTTACCAATTCTAATTATGAAAACATTTATTCCAATAAACCTTATATTGAAATATATAAAGAATGTAAGGATATTAGCAAAATAATATAACCAAATAAGTTTAATTTCAGAAGAATATGAATTTAGTATAACAATAAATAAACCTAAAATAGTAGAACTAAATGAAGGAGAATGTTCTAATAATATAACATTTAAGGATGAAAATTTAATCAAAAAATCAAAAAGTCTTAGAATACCTAATAAAAACCAGTTAGAAAAATTTAATAATATAAAAGAAGTAAAACTATATAGGAATGCTGGAAATATGAAAATAGAAGGAGAATATTATAATGGAAGAGAAAAAATAAATGAACCAAATATATTAATAGATACAGGAGCTAGTGAACGTTATATAGCTTCAATCAGAAATAAAAGATTAATAACTCATAAAACTGATCCATATAGATATGTAAATTTTGATGGACAAGTACATATTACAGATTTGAAAGTCAAGGTACCAATAAAAATAGGAGGAATAGATCTTTTAATACCGTGTTATATAGGTAAAAGTATGGATATAAACCCCCATATACTTTTAGGAATGAGTTTTTTAAATGAATTAAAAGATTATAGTATAAAAAGAGAAAGATTATATATAGCCCTCGTTTGGTACCCATTTTTTTCAATATGCATTTTTCTCTCTCTTCTTTTCAATCACACATTCTTTATTAAAATAATATTACACGTAAATAAAAAAATTTCCTTATTTTTCAACCACACATTTTTCATTAAGTTACTATTCTAAAATGCATTTTTACATAAAAATGACTATCAAACACCCCCATAGTCCATAATGGACAAACCATATTATGTAAAAAGAACTAAATGAATAATCAGATAAGGTTTCCATTCGCAGTGTATATACAAATCACTATTATAGAAACAAATATAATAACTTGTGCTTTAATAGATACAGGAAGTGATATAACAATATTTAAATTTTTTTGATAAAATCATAGAATAATAATAATAATATAAAAATAACTGGAGTTACAGAAGAAAGTACCCAGATAATTAATAGTGCTGATAAAGTTAGTATAATTCTTGGAAGTAAACAAGTTACAATAAATAAAATTTATAAATATGATAAATTAGAGTGTAATATATTATTAGGAAATGATTTTATACAACAATTTCAATATTATAAATAAAATAATTATATGATAATGTTCAAACATCTTGTGGACATTTATTAAAAATTTCAAGAAAATTTAGACCTTATAGAGTTCAGTCAGCTCAGCGTGGTGATAAATGAGAGAAAAAATCAATCATATTTGATGAAATAAAAAATAAAAGAATATTGTATAAAAAAGTTTTAAAAACAGGAGTAGAAATAAGTATAGAAAAAGTTATTGAACAATTAGAAAAAGTTTATGGAGAAAATTTATTATTATTTTGGAAACCACATCACCCTAGAGCCAAAATAGAATTGACAGAAAATATTATAATAAGAGTCAGACCAATGATATATACGATCAAAGATACACAAGAATTTAAAAATCAGATAAAAGAATTGTTAGAACAGAAACTTATAAAACCAAGTAATGGACCTCATAGTAGTCCAGCCTTTATGGTTATGAAACATTCTGAACAAGTTAGAAAAAAAAGCTAGAATTGTTATAAATTATAAAAATTTAAATAAATATACTAAATTTGATAGTTTTTTTTACCAAATAAAGAAGTTTTAATAAACCTTTCAAGAGAAAAACAATATTATTCTAAATTTGATTGTAAAACAGGTTTTTGGCAAATAAAAATAGAAGAAGATAGTATACAATATACTGCATTTAGTACACCTCAAGGAAAATATGAATAGTTAGTAATGCCATTTGGATTAAAAAATGTACAATATATCAAAGAAAAATGGATAATATATTTAAAAATTTTAATGAATTCCTAATTGTTTATATAGATGACGTTCTGATATGTTCTAATAATAAAGAAGAACATGGGAATCATTTAATCCAATTCATAAATGAATGTAAAAAAGAAGGAATTGTACTTTCTAAAAAGAAATCTATAATAGAAAAAAAAAGAAACAAATTTTCTTGGATTATTAGTAGATAAAAGAGGAATAAAATCGCAAACTCATATATCTAAAAAAATAGAAAGTTTTCTAGATAAATTAGAATCTAAAGAACAAATACAAAATTTTTTAGGATGTTTAAATTGTGTAGAAGGATTTATTGAAAATACATAAAATACAAGTTTTCTTAGAAAAACAAATACTAAAAGATGAAATAGAGAACATACAGAAATAGTTAAATCATTAAAAGAAGAATGTAAAAATTTACTAAAATTGAGATAACCAGATGGAAAAGATAATTTGATTATTGATATTGATGTCCCAGATAAATATTGGGCAGAGATATTAAAAGCAGATTTAAATGAGATTTGTAGATATTCAAGTGGAACTTTTAATCAAGCAGAAATAAATTATACCACTCATGAGAAAGAATTACTAGCAATTATTAGAGGGATAAAAAATTTTCATTATTCTTGTTATTCAAGAAATTTACTATTGAGATTGATAATTCTCAAGTTGCAGGATTAGTCAGGAATAAATTACCATCAGAACCTCAATACAGAAGGCTCCATAGATGACAAGTTTATTTAGCGTTTTATAATTTTAATATAATTCATATTTGTTAAATTTCGTCTTGGCTATTCTGTGAACAAAATGTTAAAATTGTAAATGTTCTAAAGTTTGGGGTCAATTTGTCAATATTTAAAGGTTAGGGGTCATTGTGTACATGTGTAAAAGATGAGGGACTAAGTTGCAATTCTGTCAAAGTATGCTAGGGTTCGAGCTATGAAGTAGGACAAGATGTGTCGTTGAAATTTCGCTAGCTGCTCGCCAAGTGGTCACTCGAGCAACAAAAACAGATAGGTCGTCGCTCACTTCTTGCCCCCATTTCGCTCGAGCGAAACAGCGTCGCTCACTTTTCGCTCGAGCGACGATGTTGTTCATAAAACCCTATTTTCCTTTTTTTGATATTTTAACCCGACCCAAATGTTCAAATACACTTCATATAAATAAAATTGCGCCGATTTTCAGACGTTCTCTCAAAATTGAAATTGAAGAAAACTCTCCACACTTTGATTCTCTCATTCCATCCCATATTTGACTCACGCAATTACACAAAAACATCAAATCAACATTCATCAAATACCACAACACAATCTTCCAGAGCCTTTGTTGATTCTATGAGATCGAGGAAGGAGATCGGAGTCCCAATCATTAAAGAACAGGCGGTTCTCTTGAATCCACAAGAGATAGATGAAATCAAGGGCCGAGAATTGGTGTAGCACGCAATCCAGGAGGGCTAGGTGTCAGGAGTTGGTGCAGGATCACGCATTCTAGAAAGGCTTTGAAGAAATTACGGTCAGGAGGTCAGAAAAATCAGTGTGGGTTGAGTTTGACAGATTGTAAGTTGTATTTTCGTTTATAGTAGATTCATACTGGCTTGGGCCCGGAGTTTTACCCACATTAGGGTTTTTTCGTCATCAGACAATTGCATTATTTACTTTTCTGCAATTAATTTATTACCGGCATTCAAACATAGGATAGTAAAGCATGTGAACTGATCTGGACAAATTAATATTTGTGACGTGTTGCAATTATTAATTGATTGAAAAAGAAAATTCCGCACAAACACCTATTCACCCCTCTTTAGGTGTTGATTGGGTCGAACTACGATATTTCAAGTGGTATTGGAGCCATATCTTGAGTTCTGACCCATAGTTGTCTAGATGAGTCAATCACTGTCTGTGTGTCTGTATTTTGACTGAAACAACTCTACCTATTGGAAGGTTAGAATGCGTGCATTTCTTAAGTCCCTAGATAAACGTGTCTGGGTGAGTGTACAAAATGGTTGGAAACCTCATTCTACAACTGTGTCGGGGGTTGTAACCCCAACTGACATTTCCCTTTAGACTAAGGATGAATTGAATGAATGCAACTGGAATAGTAAAGGTCTCCATGCATTATTTATGTATGTGTCTTCTGAAGAGTTTAGGAGAGTGTCAATGTGTGAAACTGTTAAAGAAGTATGGGACATTCTAGAGACAACACATGAGGGAACTAAAACTGTGAAAAATTCCAAGTTGCAAATGCTGGCCTCAAGGTTTGAAGAAATCAGGATGAAGGATGATGAATCTTTTGATGAGCTCTATGCTAAATTGAATAACATTGTTAACTCTAGTTTCAACCTAGGTGAGAGGATTCCCGAGTCCAAAACTGTGAGGAAGGTTCTTAGGTCTTTGCCCAAGAGATTTAGACCTAAAGTTACAGCTATTGAAGAAAGCAAGGATCTGGACACAGTTAAGATAGAAGAACTTGTAGGATCCCTTCAAACCTATGAACTCACCATTTCATAAATGAGGAAAAACAAGTCCATAGCCTTGAACACTGTTAGGGAAGAGGAGTCTGAGTCATCTGACGTGGAAACTCTTAGAGATGAGGAGATTGCATACTTTGTGAAGAAATTCTAGAAAGTCTTAAAGAGCAAAAAATGGCCTCAAGAGAAAAAGAGAGGAGCCCCTAGTAAATTACAAAGATAGAAGAATGATAAATCAACTGCTAGGAACCCTGATAAGAAATCTCAAGTGGTTAGGTATCATGAGTGTCAGGGATTTGGGCACTATAGGAATGAATGTCCTAACTTTAAGAAAAATCTAAAGAAGGGAAGTAGCAAGGCATTAGCTGTGTCCTTGACTGATGATGATTCTAACTCAAGTGAACAACGTGATTCCTCAAGCAGTGAGGAGGAAAAGGGCTATATGGCTTTTGTATCTACTGTCAAGAGCGAGTCAGATAAGGGTGAGAAGGTTGAGGAGGAGGTAGAGAGTAACAAGTCCGATGATGATTCAGAGGATGAGACGGATATACATGGGCTTATCAACTTCTGTTTAAGGAGAGTCTCAAGATTAAAAAGGTAAATAAAGCCCTATTTAAGAAGGTAGATGAGCTTGAGAGAGAGAGAAGGAGAAAATCACCTATGATCTTCAAGTCTCATCTAAGAATCTCAGTGAGTTGAAGTGTGTCAATGAGAAATTAGAGGACAGGGTTAAAACATTGACTTTTGAGTTAGAGAAATCCAGCACTCAACTGTAGTCGTTTGTGAGTGGAACTAAGAAACTAGACGATCTGTTAGGAATGAACAAACTAGTTGGAAATATGCAAGGTCTAGGATTTGTGAAGAGTGATGGCAATGTGTCTAGTTTGTCCAAGACCACATTTGTCCCCGCTTCCAACAGGTCTAATGTTTCAACCAATCCAGAATCCAAAGACAAGAATTTCACTGGACTAAAGGCCACTAGAGCTCGTAAGAATTCTACACCTAAATTTCAGGATCAACACTCACGTGCATCTGAACCTAGGTTCATACCCACTTGTCATCACTGTGGTGCTTTAGGTCACACGAGACCTAGGAGTCGAAAGATAGCAAATAGGAATAGAAGTGAGGATATCCCTAGTCAAGTAAACTTTCTTTCAAATCAGGTTAGTCACCTGACTGAGATGGTAACAAGGTTGACTAAGATCACCTCGACCTCTAGAAAAGTCTGGCTAAAGAAATCTGATGTGGGTGAGTATGGTGAGAATCTAAAATGTTTTGTTACTCTGTAGCATATAAGGCTCAAAATACATGCATGTGGTATCTTGATAATGCTTGTTCTAGACACATGTGTGGTAACAAGGCCTTATTCTCTACCTTTGATCACTGCAACAGTGGTGCAGTTACCTTTGGGGACGAAGCTACGGCACCCATCTGAGGTAAAGGCTCCATCACCATTGCTGGACTTCCTACAATATCTGATGTGCTTTATGTAGAGGGTCTTAATTCCAACTTGTTGAGCATTAGTCAAATCTGTGATGCTGACTATGAAGTGAGTTTTGTCGAAAAGAGATGCACTGTTTATGACCCTTCAGGTGGTGTTGTTCTTGGAGGTTTTGGAACATCTGATAACTGTTATGGAGTTATCCCAAACTTGAACTATGTGTACGGTAGTGCTAAAATTGAGATGTCTGAACTTTTGCATCAAAAGCTCGGTCATGTTAATTACAGAAGTCTGTCTAAATTGGTCGAAAAGAAGATTGTTGCTGGTTTACCTAAGATTGATCAAAGTGAAAATGCTGTGTGAAAGCGGTGTCAACAAAGAAAGCAACTCAGGATGAACCATAAGCGAACCTCAAAAATCTTGACAAATAGACCCTTAGAGCTTCTCCATATGAATTTAATGGGATCATCTAGAGTGGAGAGCCTAGAAGGCAAACGGTATATTTTGGTTGTGGTAGATGACATTTCTAGATACGCCTGGATTGAAATGTTAAGAGAAAAATCTGAGATGGGTGATCTGGTTAAGTCCTTATGTAAAAGACTCAAAATTGAACAAAATCTTTCTATTTCTAGGGTTCGAAGTGATCATGGGAAAGAACTTGAAAACTTCAATCTAGAAAACCTCTGTTTGGAGGAGGAGATTAAGTATGAGTTCTCCTCATCAATCACTTCACAGCAAAATGGAGTTGTTGAGAGGAAGAATAGAGTACTTCAAAAAATGGCTAGGGCCATTCTTCACGGTAAGGATCTAGTAATGCATTTCCGGGGTGAAGCTATTGACACCACTTGCCACATTGTAAATAGGGTATACCTGAGATCAAAAACAGACAAGACTCCTTATGAGATCTGGAAAGGCAAGAAGCCTACTGTTAAATACTTTCGTATGTTTGGCAGCAAGTGTTACATTCTGAGGGATAGAGAAAATCTAGGCAAGTTTGATTCCAAAAGTGAGGATGGAGTTTTTTTAGGATATTCTAAGAATAGTAGAGCCTACCGAGTTTACAACTTGCATACTCTGAGTGTCTTGGAATCTGTAAATATTGTTATTGATGATGCCTTTACCGAGGGGAAGAGTGCTGAAAATGGGGTTGAAATAGAAGATCTAAGTGATGATCAAGGAGCCACTACTGAAAATAAAGAGCAATCAATTCCAAAATCTCTAGGCTCCTCTGAAAACATCTCTGATCACGGTCTACCAAATTTTGATCAGTCTAAGCTTCCTAGAGAACCATCTTCCAGGGTCAAATCTAATCATCCTAAGGTTAACATCATTGAGGATTTAGATGAAGGTATGAGGTTATGAAAGAGAGTTCTAAATAACCTAACATATACTAGCTATGCATCCCAGATTGAACCTAAGAAAGTAGAGGAAGCCCTTAGAGATGAATGTTAGGTGAGTACCATGCATGAGAAGCTTAATCAATTTGTTCGAAATAATGTTTGGTATCTAGTTCCTAAGCGTGATGATTGTAATGTGATAGGTACTACATGGATTTTCAAGAACAAAATCGATGACCAAGGTACCATAACTAGAAATAAGGCTCGACTAGTTGCCCAAGGGTACACTCAGGTTGAAGGGGTAGATTTTGATGAGACTTTTGCCCTTGTTGCTCGTCTTGAGTTCATTCGTATTCTTTTTGTGATTGCATGTACCTTAGGGTTCAAGCTATATCAAATGGATGTCAAGAGTGCATTCTTAAATGGAATACTTCAAGAAGAGACGTATGTTGAACAGTCGAAATGATTCATTGACCCTAAGTTTTCTCATTATGTCTAAAAACTCAATAAAACATTGTATGGTCTAAAACAAGCTCCTAGAGCTTGGTATGACTGACTCACCACTTACCTCGTTGAGCATGGGTTCTCATGAGGTGGTGTTGACAGAACCTTATTCATTAGATATATTGAAGAAACTATAATTGTAGCTCAGATCTATGTCGATGATATCATCTTTGACTCTCTCATTGACTCCCTTGCTCTTGAATTTGCTAAATGCATGAAACAATAATTTAAGATGAGCATGGTTGGAGAGCTAAGTTACTTCCTTGGTCTTCAAGCGAAGCAAACTGATTGTGGGCTATTTATCTGTCAGTCAAAATATGCCAAAGACCCTGTGAAGAGATTTGGCTTGGACAGTAAGAAACACACAAGAACACCCATGAGCACAAGTGTTAAGTTAGGACATGATCCTACAGGTAAGAGTGTTAATCAGACTGTGTATAGGAGCATGATAGGCAATCTACTATACCTTAAAGCCATTAGACCTGACATAGCGTTCAGCGTTGGAGTATGTTCTAGATTTCAAGCTGATCCTAAGGAGTCCCATCTAAGTGCAGTGAGGCGCATTATTAGATATGTCAATGGGGTAGTAAATCATGGGATCTTGTATTCCAGAGAGTCCAATCTTGAACTAGTCGATTATTCTGATGCCGATTGGGCCGGAAACGCTGATGATAGAAAGAGTACCTCGGGTGGATGTTTCTATATTGGTTCTAATCTTGTCTAATGGATGAGTAAGAAACAAAACTCAGTCTTCTTGTCCACAGCCGAGGTATAATACATTGCAGTTGGTAGCTGTTGCACTCAACTGCTTTGGATGAAGCAAATGCTGAGTGACAATGGGATAAATCAGGGTACTATGACTATTTTCTGTGACAATACCAGTGCTATCAACATATCAAAAAATCCGAGAGCTAGTTGAGTCCAATGTGATATCACTTGAACACATCTCTACTGAAAATCAACTTGCCGATCTGATCACTAAACCTCTAGATGGGTTGAGATTCGAGTCACTTAAGAAGGCTATTGGCATCTGTGTTCCTCCCTGATTGTCTTCATAGATGCATGCATGTTTAGTTTATTTCAGTAATTCTTTTCTACATTCATTACATTGCTTATTTGTGTTCATTTGCATCTGTCTTTCATTTTGGCTTTTAATAAATAATAAAAAAATAGGATTGAACATCACGTGTCATTTTTCCATTGTAGCTGTTCACTCGAACTTGCAATTTGAGATCAAATGTGCATTCAACACATGATTAGTTTCTAATTCCCATCACTTATCTTGAATCTGTATGGAGTACTTAGTATATGTCACTTCATATTATATTTGCACAGCACACACTAGAACCGTGTGAGTGAGTCTTGACCGCACGTGTGAGACTTGGGATGGCTATCATCTGTCGTTGAGTTGACATTGGATTTGAATTGATCTTGGACTAGATGACCTAACTTCTGGTATACCCCCAAGTGATTCAATAGAATATTTATTATATCACATCTTATACCTATCTTCGGAGCCTAGTTGACTTGAGCAATTAAGTCTGAAGGGTTTCTCATAACCTGGTGCTCTAAAGCCAACTGGTTTGGGAGTCACCAACCCAACACTCGTTACAGGGGTTTTCTTAGTATCTTATGGAGATGGGATTGCACATAAGATAAAAAAAAAATAAAAATTGGAGGTCCTTAATGACAGGGGGAGAAATGACAGGTTTACACCATATTTTAATAAATTATAGGTTCTAGTAGCATTAGATTTGA